GTCTTAGCAAGGAATACAACTGCAGAAACGCCGAGAGTATAACTCCTTAAAAAGACTCTGGAAATTCGAATTTTTCGTTCAGGACCAAGAATCACCTGCAGCACTATCACCAGAGCTATGTGCAGAGATGCTACCTGGAGAGAGATCATCGCTCAAGATTGCCCAGCTGCTTGTGGATTCTGTCTCCTCGGTTAGTGATATCAGTCAACCTTATATATGTGGAAAAACATTCTTAAAACATTCTAGGAGGATGTATCGATAAGGCCGTTGATTGCGCTACTCAACCCACTATGTGCTTCATTGATTCTTTCAGAAGCTTCGTAAATACCAACTGTCAACGCACATGCGGACTTTGCAGTAAGATTATCTTAACCAAACACGATAGTTTCAAAACAAAATTCAGCTACATCATCGACCACTGGTTCCTCATCCACCTGCACCACCATTGCTGATACCAGTCCAAAGTAAGTAACCCAGGAAAATGAACTACAGCTAATGCCTCGATATTTCCAGCTGTGCCTCATGGAGAAACAATGGATTCTGTACCAACACTTTCTACACTGTCGCTCAAAGAAGACAATATTGCTCCAGAACTTGCAATATCTGCTAAGTGTTAACTTGTACAATAAGCCATCAAAGCGTGAGCATGCTTAAAATCAAATCTAGAGACATTGTGGTCTGACCAACCAATAATAAAGAAATAAACTCTTTAGCCAAAAACTTTTATTCAATTTAACATGCAGCATAGAATAATTACACGTAGTTCCAAGATATTCCTACTCAGGATTTCAATTGACGAGAGTGATAGGAGCAACTTGGTTACCTGAGTAACCAATGGCATTCCAAGGCAATCTATAAACAATATTCATAAAATTTGCAGAAGTGCTACAACGATATCTAGTATCTTATTTCATTCATACTCACACGCATCCCTGAGAAGAACAGAGGTTCCATTTCAGGAAGCCCATGCCTTCCTCAGTGAGGATATGGAAAGCAAATGTATTGGCTGATTTTAAATTCTCTGTACGTTTGATACAGAGTTGAACTATCTAGTAGTTTACACCATCATACTACTTACAGAAAATCTGATCGGTACAGAGTTGGTTCCTGATATGGCACATAATAGAAGTATACACTTTTCCAATTTTTTGTCAAAAACGCTGACCAGAACCCAAATGTTGTTGACTAGATAAAGGCATGTGTGAATAACGGTTAGACACAAATGTATTACTTGATGAGTTATAAGATATGAAGAACACACTTCGCTGGCTAAGAAGAGATCCACACCGCTCTCATTGTCACTAACGATGCCAGTCTAGGTGAGAAAGCTTTGAGCAACGCATGATGAGTTCTATACCTCAATCTTCCCCTTTTTCGTCAGGGCATGCAGCATTTCATGTAAGAAAGATCTATCATCACCAAACAGAAGAATTTTCTTTTTTTTCTGAGAGATCGATCGATAAGAACGTAAATCAAAAAGAACATACTTCTTTAACTAGAACATACTCAGTGAGTGCAAGCAACACTTCTCGAGGAACTGTCCGATTTATTCGTACGAAATCCGTCATTCTTATATGTGCACAAAGTATTCCATCCGACGATCGTCTGTCATAACATTCATTAATGGAAACATATGAACTAACTCACAACGCATTGGCATCCATGTATCTGCGTCCCTTGATCTTTATTTGAGAATTGAATTCTAAATATTTCTTAAATTCATCAATGTTCTCATAAATATTCTTAATATGCTGTGTAAACGATGTGTCTAACATTAGAAAAGGACTAGTCTCGCTGGCATGACTGAAATGGATATATTTGGTTCTTTTGAAGGAATTCGAGTCATACTCTAGAGGATCTTGATACCTACAGCAATCATCTTTTCCATAAAAATGACTATGTGGAACGACTTTCTCCATTGATTTAGGTGGTCTCTATAATGCATGTTACACACCATCTGAATACTTCTAACTTACAATGTGCACATACAGATCCTTCAAACGTGGAAAAATTCTTTCAGTGATTATCCTCTCTTTCATAATCTTATCATGAATGTCTACATTTTTTGAAATGTAAAATGTCCTATTGAGTGCTTTCGCGAAAGACAATCCAGCAGCAAAGGTCCACAGCTGAAAAGGTTCCCATATTACATCATATGCTAAGTGTTTACCTGATTTCCTATTCGTCCATGGTTTCCTTTAACTGACAAGTATTTATCTTTCAATACAGCTTTCAATATCTCTTCGCAGTCATCATTATAAAGCGTTGATATATAAACTACAAACTCTTAAGATAAAAACAAAATCGAAACGTATAAAAGGAAACCTTGAAATAAATGAAGATTGATAGCTGCTAGTATAAGTAAAACTATAATAAGAATGAGCCGCAAAATTCGTAATGGCTTTCGTGACATATCAACATGCTTCAGAACTGTTTTGGGAAATGCAAGCAAAAACTGCCGCCGTTCTGGTGCTGCCACCTTTTCAGACTGAATTCTGTTATAGTTAAATATGATTATAATATATTATACATAATTGATTAATAGAAAAGAATAATACATTCACATTGATTAATAATATAATATATTTTAGAATACGAGTCAATGGGCAAAACTTAATAATGTTAAAGTACAGAGAGAGAAAGAGAGGGTGAAAGAGAGGGAGTCACAAAGTAAACACGTCTCGATAACGATTATATGAGCACATTGTGCGTGAAGCACTATAGAAAGAAGATCAGCATAGAATCATTCAATTGATACATCAGTCTACCTATAGTCATATATTATTCCTTTTTTTTGGCTTCACGTTTCCATGCTACGTCCAATAGGTAACTATGGGAGACGATTTTCAAAACAATTGATCGACACGCATATTTATTGTCTTATCATAAAGTAAATGTTAATCTGTTTCTATAAGCAGCCTTTATATGGTTTAAAGGTCGTGAAATTAGAATTTTGAGACGATTTCTCAAAAACCATTTCTCAGTTTGCACTCTGGATAAGCGGTTGCGTTTCAATTTCCTATTCATTCGAGCTAGCAGACGTTTGTGTGTGTGTGTGTGTGTTTGTAATTTTATAACTATATGCATATTCTCTTTTCTTATTTAAGAAGGTAAAAGTTGTTCTGAAAATGATTTATAAGATGTATTAACATTAAAGCTCTGTTCAAAATGATTTGTAGTCGAGATGTCATAATTGTTAAAAATGGAATTGCATCAAGTCACTCATCAGCGACTAATAACGGCACGCAGATGTTTGTTGGATGAAGTTCTGTTCTCTGTAAGAATGAAGAAAGAATGAATATAGAGTGATGAAACTAGATATAGACAAACCTTGAATGTATCCTTTGCAGACGTTTTGCCGTCGTATTCAACCAGTAATATGCATAATCTATCTTTTTTCACAGGCCCTTCCAGACGGCCGATCTGCATAATCATGCTATGCATTAATAGAATTACTCATAATACTTACATTCAATGGTATACATCGTCCTGGCTCCAAAATAGCAAAAACAGGACTGACACGATATAACGCATTATCTGAGCATGTGATTTTCACAGCGAGAGGTGCTGAAATGAAAATTGGTATTACTCTCAACCCAAGTTTCTTGCTCTATGAATCTAATGGGCATTTCATTTGATTGACAATAACTGTCTTTGGGTTTCGGAATCCTTTGCAGTGAAACAAAAACTATTTAGAAAAAAGAAAAATCGAACTTTTGCTCGTATTGCTCAGATTATGTGTAGATATGCCTCCTTGGGGAGTAAAGACAGCCTGCCGTGGAGAAATCGTCACATCGTTCAGCAAATGACAGCTACACTGACAGCCTGGTGCTCGAATAGGTCTACAAAATATAAAAATAATGATGTTATGAGGGAGGAGAGGATATGAAATGAAAGAAGTGAAATATAAATTTGAATTACCTTGATGTGACACGACCCGACCGAGACGACTTAATGAGCTGTTCCATGTCCGACAAAGCAATAGCTGAAAAATAAAACAGTCAAAGAAGTTATATTATAGAATTATGATCAGAAATGTTCTTCGTTGGTCTCACAACGAAAATGGAGGCAAAACGTATGGTTTTAGGTTATAATATCTCACCTAAGTTCTCAAAGTAAAAACCTATTACACGCACTCACATGAAATTGCTCCAATTTGGTATTATTGAAACTCATTTCAAGAATTGGAAAGAGAAATGAACTCGGGAACAAACTATGAAGAGCTAAGATTTTGATTCGTCTATCTTTGCAGTTTGTCTGAACGAAACGTCGGCAATGTCAAAATAAATATTCTAGTGAAACAACAACAAGCATTCCCTCTTAACTCTTAACATCTTTCCCTAACTCAATAGAAACTTTCATAATTTTGTTCAAAAATCAAAAATTTGTTTCCTTTTCATGAAAATAACTTATCCACGAGGTAATCTAGTGATCAACTTCTGGTCACGGAGAGCAGCTCACATGGCTCTCAGATCATTTTTGGTGTTTGAGAGAAAATATCATTAATAGAGAAAGAACTCACTGAAAGATCGAGAGACTCTACTACCCGATGGATGAAGTGGTTGAGGGTGTACCGAGGAAGCATTTCGAAACGAATCCATACGCACTAATGAAAACTTTGACTTTGATGGTTGCATAATGCTCTCAGATGTTTTTCCACCTTTGAACAAGTTACAAAGGGCTGAGGTAGCAATGAAATTGAGCAGGAAGCAGAAAATAAACGCGGACTGACTCGTGTGTTATGAGTGTGGGTAAGAGAAGAAGAAGCACTAGGAGGCGGAGGAGGAGGAGCAGTCAAAAGAAACGATGATGCTGCCAAGATCTGAGTTGGTTGTGCCTATGTGGCATGACAAAGCAAAAGAATACCAACATCCATCAACAGAAGACTTGAGGAGGAGAAGATAGTGCTACGCATGAGATGAAGCTAGAAATGGGTCAGACACACATGTCTTCATCTGGAGACATCGTAAGTTTGCTTCTATATGATTCAGATGTCTCTGCTGTCCATTACTATAATCTAACCATTCACACATTCTCCTAAGACTTCTTTGTCTCTCGTTATGGCAGCAGAATCGCAACTGCTCTGCTTCTGATTTTTGATAAGCATTCTTTTCTAGATCATCTTAACCGATATCATTCTTTATTCGGGGCACTTTAGGGATGTTTCGAAGAAACAAAACAAAAGCATTCAGATGGATTGCTGGAATTAACCAGTCTCAGAACTACCCAAACTTCTTTTTATGGTTAAGCCATGTGTTGCTTGCCGTCATTAAACTCTCGAGTCTCAATGAGCAAACGGAAAATAAGTTCTTTCCTCACTAATTCCTTCAAATCTTTGAAACTTTTTTTCGTCTTCATTCTAATCCACGATCTTAAACAACTCAGATTCTCAGATAAACATTACGACTTTACGCTCACAATGAGGTGATCTGAATAAAAAATGAATAAAGTTGAACAGATGACGCTCGAATCACGGATTATAATGAGAGGAATTCAACGCATGTTTCTGGATATCATAAAAGTGAATATTCGAAGAAAAGAGCTTTTTTGATAACAGACAACTGAGAAGCTACAATTCAAAGTGCTCGGTTCCTCATTTCCAGACTCAAACTTTTTTTTAAACTTTTTATGCTTATGAGTCGGCTAGACATGCTAAAGTGCTTCGTTAAACATCATTTATTGGTTTCAAAAGAGAAGTTCATGGAGACTTCGCAAGATCAATCACAAAGCGAAACGTGGTACAATGGGTTGCAAACAAGGGATAAAAATTAAAACAAACCTATCATAGCTTCAGGCTTATCATCGTCATCCTGGCGTACAGTTTCACGTTCTGTAGGCTGTCGAGCAGTTTTAGCGGAATAGAGACCTTTCCAGTAAGACATTTCTAAAACTGCCAACTCCGTTTGAGGAATGAAGAAAATGAAAATGAAATGGTAGCGATTCGAACTTTTAGTTTATAAAAGGAATTTATAGCGAATGTTTTATTGCTGTAGAAGAGCGCATGGCTTGCACCTACAGAGTTCATTTTCATTTTGCATTTCATGATGAACGGTTGAGCTCACGTCCTTTCGGCGCAACTACGTCGAAACAACTTTCTATTCTACTTAAAATGAGAAATAATGAAAGAGAACTCAACAATTCCGATCAGAGAGTAAAGTGAAAATAAGGCAGCTGAACCGACAAGAAACCATTCGTTCAGAAGGAATACACGAAATCCTCGAAATATTTCGAGTAAGACTCCATGCCAACCTGACGTTAACAAGCCAATTGGCAAGGGTAGAAGCACATGAAAGTATTTAGAAGGACAACGGAAACGAGCAAAAGCCAAAACTAAATAAAATTGGAACTCGCCATGTTTCGCACCGGAAGCTAATTGTTTGACTTCCAAATCTTCGTCATTCTTTGTTTTATTCTACACGATTTTTAAATTCTACAGACCTTTTGGAAATGAGAACTCCAACAGTCTTGATGTTTGAACGAAGAGTTGGTCCAACTGCGTTAGAAATTGAAATATTTTAATTGCGGACCACGAGAACAGAATCGAATATTCCTTCCCCATCAGTTCATTTTGGTTTCTCCTCTCCTCTCATACATGAATAACAAATGACCAGACCGGACCAGACCCACTATGCCAACGTACCTCCAGTTTTGCCATGTATTTCCTTCTTTCGTATTATAAATGAAGAGCAAGGAACTTTGAAAGCTTTATTCACGGCGACATCGTTGGCGGCAAAATCTCAAAATACCTACCTGTTTGGTATAAATTACCTGTGCCAGCTCAAGTTCCTCGTCCACACCTGAAATCCAATTTCTGTTCTCACTCCTCTCCAAAAAAGTTCTAGCAATCCTCCAAAATAAGTTCTTAGCAATCCTCCAAAATTTGATTCCCATTTTTGAGTATCCACACCAACGAAACAGAAATTGTTGAGTTGTTTCCAAAGCTCCCTCCTAATACTACAGTTCCTCCCAGTTAAATAGCTTCTATCGCGCTCCCTCCTACTGCCGCAGGCTGAAATAATACCTTTTATTCACAATGAACAAAGTAACTTGGCGACAACTGGATAAAGATAATCAAAGCTTACATATCAGTATCAACTTAACGATAGAGTAAAAAAGTATGAGAAAACATTTAAGAGCGAGAACGGGAACGAGAACGGGATGGAGTAGGAGAACGTGAGCGTGAAGGAGAACGAGAACGACTTACAGAGCGACTCTTTGATCGCCTAGGACTGTACTTAGGGGAATTTCTTCGTTCAGCTGAACGAGAACGAGAACGACTGCGAGATGAACGACGTCCGCCACTGCTTCCACTATCCTCCTTTACAGTTATGTAAGCTGTCTCTCCCTGAAACAAAAACTTTAAATAAGAACTTAGATCAAGTCAAACCTCATGAGATCTGAACTTAGTGTCGTCCAATTTTTTCAAGGCATATTTCATATCATCATATCTCACGTATTCAACAACACCAGTTCCATCCTTGTAAACATCAGCATAGCAAACATCTCCTGCATCTCTCATATGATCCTAAATTTAGACATTTCGAAATTGTCTTTATTTTCGAAAATGTACCTTCAAGTCTTGCCAAGAACCACTGGCTGGAAGGCCACTAATTACAACTCTGTAATTAGTTCTGCGAGAACCACGACGTCCTCCTCCTGCGGATCCTCCGAAACGATCTCCATATCCTCCACCGCTTCCGCCACCTCTGCGGTCACCACCACCGCCAAAACGACCTCCACGCTCTCCTCTAGGGCCGTTAGCGCGAGTGAACTCAACTCTCAATCGATTGCCATCAAAATCATAGCCATCGCGGCCTTTAACGGCGTCTTCAGCATCTCTGAATATAGGACTTAATTCAAGTACAAAATAGCAAAAATGTACCTGAAGTCTTCGAACTCTACGAAAGCATACAAAGGACCACGTCCGCCTTTAATGTCGCAGAATCTTATTTTACCGTATTTGTTAAAGATGTCAGTGACGTCACGCTCTTTTACGTCAGTAGGCAGATTTCCTACGAAAATTCTTGGATTACTTGAAGGCATAGTACAGTTTTCTGAAAAGAGGAATATTTAATGAGATGTTAAGTTTGAGAACAGCAAAAGGAAATACGAATGCATCTATCAAAAAAGACGCTACGTCGACCTTAGGCGGGAGAGAAGTGATAATGCGCGCCACGTAATGCGGCGCGTGCGGGCTAACGCGTCGCGTTTTTTTCAACTAGAGCAGTGTGATGAGCGGAACATAAAGATACAAAGAAAACCAACTCATGTCTTTCTTCCATTCCTGCAAAGAGGACCAAGTCTCATTACATCCTATTCTGACTTTGTGAGAGAAAACTGAAATTGCAGTGATCTTTTGGAAATTCCTGGGAGACTTTCCTACGTCCCCCTTAACGATATAAATGGATGAGAAGGATAAAAACAAAAGTGCAGGAACAAAAATTATATCTTCCTCCACCAAAATGATGATCACTTCCGGAGATGTTAATTCTTTACCTTCTAGCTTGGTACTATTTGGAACGAGAATGATAATTACTTTTGGGTCAGGGGTTGTGAAATCCGAAAAACGCGGGAAACCTGTTTATTTTATTGGTAGCTCTCTACCTCTACTCGTTGATTACAATATTGTTTAAATCGGTTGACTCTGTTTCATAGAACTCTACGTGGAGTTTTTCACCTGACATCTCTTTCTTTCGCTTCTCATAGATTGTTAGTGTTGCGATACTCTGAGTAAACATTCGGAAACGATAAAATCTTCACAAGAAAGAAAAGCTCAGGGGGTATTTCCTTTCGGAACTGAAAGTTCGAACTTACAAATGTTGTTACCATGCTAAGTGTAAAGCATTTATTTATTTTTATACTTAGTTTATTTATAGTCGGCTCAATGTTAGTTGTACAACAACAATCGTCCATAGTTTGCACTGTGCAATTCTATTAGACTTGAATGTTTCCTAGATCTCACTTTCGCTTCTATATTTGGTAACAATCTTTTCCGCATCATGAATCGGGCAAGAACCATTTTAATGATGTTTGATACCTCATGGCCTCGGCAGAACAGAGTTGCAGATACTTTTACGAGCGTTTGCGATAGCAACAAGCTGTTGTTTTGCCATTGTGATATCATTAATATAAATAGCAGAGGTCATCTAAGACGGCCTGTTCGACGCTTCTTTGATTTTATCCAAATCCCCTGTTCTAAAGAAAAAACAATTTATTTGTGCAAAATAAATACAAAATCTAGCATCCCGTCAATTTTAATAACACATAGTTGGAAAATGATATGATAAGTTCCTCTGACTTTTTCTTAGATTTCTTCATTTCCTGGGATCTCGAACTTGCTGGCGAAAGTCTCGACTTTCTGAAATGCGGGTTACTATCGAGAAAGAGTGGAAAACCATTTTTTACCTCAGCTAAAGCACCAATCTCTTTCTTGAAATCTTCGTTCGTCTCAGTGAAAGCCTTGAAATCTTTGATTGTTTTACCGGCTTGAGCGTTGTATTTGAGAGCAATGTTCAGGGCTGTAACGACGAATATCTCAACAAATCAATAGCTGAAACTTACCTTCATCAATGAACACAGCAACAGCTTCGAAGTCAGTTTCCTTGAATCCTCTGGAAGTAAGAGCAGGTGATCCCAAGCGAACACCTACAAATTACTATTTATACAAAATATAAGAAGCGTCCCTCCACCTCCTGGTCTCAAAGCTGAAACATCTCCTGGGCAAGTATTCTTGTTACAAGCTATGTGAGCCAAATCCAAGACATGCTCAGCCTTAGCTCCTTCTAATCCTTTTGGTCTCAGATCCACGAGCAACAAATGGTTTTCTGTTCCTCCTACAACTCAAACTATGAATGCACATCACATGAATTCTTTGAATTATATAAGCTCTTCAAGCCGATATACAAAGATTGGCACTTTTTATCTACGGATCAAAGTGTTACCTGTGGCTAAAGTATATCCTAAAGAAGCGAGCTTCTTGGCAAGAGCGTCAGCGTTTTTAATCACTTGTTTACCGTATTCAACGAAGTCGGTAGTGAGACATTGCTTCAAAGCAACGGCAATTCCTAAAACGAATGATGACTATCCAAAACATTGAAAGAGTACCGGTGATTGTATGATTATGTGGTCCACCTTGAAGACCTGGGAAGACGGCAGTGTTGATCTTATCAGCAAAATCGTACATGATCTTGTCTCCCTTAGCATTGGTTGAGCGGACGCCTATGAAAAAGCCATAGAGCATTTCTAAGCATCCCACAGTACGTACCTTTTCTGTAGAAAATGAGAGCTCCTCTTGGTCCACGTAGGGATTTGTGGGTAGTTGTAGTTACGATATCAGCATACTCGAAAGGTGATGGGATCAATCCGGCGGCAACAAGTCCAGAAATATGAGCCATATCAGCCATTAAGAAAGCTCCGCACTAAAAGAGCAATATCATAAAATAACATCAAAGCTGTTCCGATTACTTTGTTAGCGATTTTACGGAAGCGAGCATAGTCCAAGTGACGAGCATAACAGGAAACACCTTCAAGAAAATTTGTTCGATTTCAAAAATTTTCCAAATTACCAGCAACAAGAATCTTGGGACGGAACAACATAGCATTTTCTTCAATTTTATCGTAGTCGATCAATCCAGTGGTTGGGTTGACTTTGTATGGCATAGACTCGAAGAAAATAGATGAAGCTGACACCTTACGAGCAGGAGTGAAGAATCTGAAATGATGACCAGGTAACAAACTGATTCAACTCAAAATTACCCATGAGATAAATGACCACCATCTGGCAGATCGAGACCCATGATGCGACCATGGGGTTCAACTACAGCCGTGTAAACGGCAAAGTTAGCTGGGGTTCCAGAGAGAGATTGGACATTGACACCCCATTTCTCCGAGTCGAGTCCGAAAACCTAAAACAGACTCTCATGTAAAAATGTGTTTTTGACCAAAACCTCAAGAGCTCTCTTTTGGCAAAGAATTTCCATCTTATCGATGTATTCATTACCACCATAATATCTAGCCCCAGGATATCCTTCGGAATACTTATTACACATAGAGGATCCTAAAGCATCCATAACGGCCTTAGTGGTAAAGTTTTCAGAAGCAATAAGCTCGAGGCCTCTACGTTGACGCTTCTTCTCCTTAAATTCAATTATAAGGAAGTCAGTTGAACAATGAAATGACACATACGTCCTTCATGATATTGAAAGCTTCTTCATCAACAACCGAAATAGGATCTCGGATGATATTTTGACCATTGTAAGGTGTACGTTGAACAGGGACCAAAGGTGTGTGGACAGCCTCAGACATTGTGAACACGATGTTCTAAAAAAAGCAAATAATAATTCTTAGCAACAACAGAATGATATCATTTGATTACAGTATAGAGGATGGGATAACAGAGTAATCAATGCGATGGCGAACTAAATCTACATCTCATATAGGGTTTATCTCTATATTAGGATTTCCATCATTGGAGGTTTGGTCAAGTTAGATGAGCCAAGGATAAAACATACAACACCATTCGCAATCAAGAACTTTCAACAAACTGATCTGATCGCTCGGAATCGTAACAATGAACAGAGAAACGGAAAATACTGTTGATAATAAAAAAAAAGAAAAGAAAATGAATGAGAAGGGAACTCATAGAACATCCACTATCATTCACTGACCTACAAGTAGACAACGAATTTATATCTATAATGATCTCGAAATCAATTGCCTATACGCTTTATATACGAATTCTAACTACATTAACCAAGAAAATAGGAGATAACGATGAAGAGCCATAAACATCGACATAGATCTCCGGTGGTGCCATCAGATAATCATTTTTAACAATTTTTGCCAAAGAAAATATTATGTTGTTTAGAAAACGATCAATTGCCCTTTGGTAGAAAAGATAAATGTGTTTTTGCATTGCTGTAGAGAGAAGAAGGTTATTGACATGAGAAATGTGAAATATGATAGTTCACAAAAACTTTAATTAAATGCAACCCCCACTACTCATCACCCGAAAAATACGAAAAACTATATGCTCCGGTAGAAGCGCGCCTTTTCGCTCATTTGAATTGTGGAAGCGGTCAGAGACGGTTGTGCATTACTCTATTTTCAGTTTTGATAGCAATAATAATTCTGTTCGATGTGTGATTACAACGGTGGGAAGAAACAGTGTTAAAGATTAAAAACTTCAACTAAATTTTATTATTTACAGCGATCTTTATTATAAAATCAGATTTGACAAACCTTCGCTTTTAATAGAGCGGATGATCTCGATATGAACGATACAGTTCCTAGTCGCTGCATTGGCCTACAAAAAGAAAAAAATAATTGAAAGATAGAAAAATGTGAAATTGGCTTAAGAAACATAGGTCACGCCACAATGGCATCACCAACCAAGCATTGTGTATTGCTAATGCTGTGATAAGGCAGGCATCACTTAACAAGGGATACTGCTATCATAGTCCCAGCATGAAATGGGGCCCAGTTCTATTCTTTTATCGAACTTCACAACAAATAACTATCATATAAAGTGAAATGGTTCTGCATCATGTTGCAATTATGGAAGATTGATCTAGTGAGATGAGAATATAAAAATAGATCAGAAAATGTTATTTAAGAATATAAATAAGAAATCAGAGATATTTGAATAAGTATGCTCCGTTTACAAACACATATATGTCAGCATCGTTCAAATGATGGCACCAGTCGATAATGGAACATTTGAAAACTATGTGTGTGGTTTGGTTTCTCTCTTATTGTTTTTTATTATATTGTTAGTGCTCTCATATCTTATTATAAACCCTTTAAGAGTTTCATGAAGATAAATCTTACTCATAACACATTGTTAGTTCATTTCCTTTTTTAGAGGATTATGCAAATTTTTTTGAAGTTTATGGCGCACGGTTTCAAATCCGCTTTTTATAAATACGCATCAAGCATCACTGAACTTTCTCCAAATTGCTATATTGGTATCTAAACAGCAAATGTATTGGAAAGATGAACAGTAGCTCTTTCTACTTCTGTTTTGCAGAAAATGCATCATTAGTAAGTTTCTGTATTTATACATATATATTGCAAACCTACAATTTCTGCGATATACGCAGCTTGCTCTTCAAATTCAGTTGCTATGCAATCTTTATTTTTTTTCCATTATTAACTGATTTGTTCCATCGGCTCAAAATAAGGAAGCCCAATGATCTCTTACTTAATCTAACGATATATGATGCCAAGTTATGTTTAGCAACCTGAGTGTGTCTGGAGAGATGTCATCACATTCGTGCCTTTTCTCATTTTTTGGATTTCTCTCCCTGCTATATTCTTGAATACTCGAATTATTGGAACATACGAGACAGTTACATCGCGAAACTTTCTACGAACAGTGAGTGCTTTGAAACATTAAGCTATTGCATTTGAAATATTGTAAACAATGGACACAATGCATTCATCACTTCAGGCAGTTCTTCTGGCTCTGGCTATTTACTCGTCATTTTGTATTCTTTTAGACGATTTTACACCATTCTGGATTTTTCTGCGACTTTTTGCCGCAATATCATATGTAAGTTTGCCATTAACTAATATTGTGAGATTTTCAAGCCTTATTAAACATTTTGAATCAATTAGCTCATTAGCATGATGCGGCATACTCGTGCTCATCAAAATCATTTTTGAGTCAAGCGGTTGTAAGATGCGGTTGATTATCAAGAGAATTGATGATGGCATCTTAATATCTCTTGATAATGCTTATAACCACAGAAAGATATACTTTTTGAATGATGAAGATGATAAATATCAAGCGGAGCATGTAATTAAAAGAAAAAAAGTGGAAAAAAAGAAAATTTTTGAATAAGCAAGTGTAAGTTGGAATGGTAATCATTAGTATACGTCCTGTCAATGTTTGAACGAAAAAAAATTTCAAAAATGAAATACTGGAAAAGTTGTGAAACTGAAGAGACCGCGTGGAGATAAGGTCTTAACTGAATGAGAAGAGAATATGATAAAGCGAATTCATTTGGTTGTAAGCCATTGTAGCTGTATTTTAGGTTGGATTATCAGTTGCTGTTCAAGTACATGCATACAAAAAGCGGTTGATTAGTGCATCAATCTATATTGCTGTATCGTTTTTATGTTATTTCAAACTTACATCAGTATTAGTTAAGGTTAGCCATTTATGGATAAATATATAAACAAGAAACATCAATGTGATTATTGAATGATTGTTTAAGGTAACTGAATACTATTGGGATTTTAAAACACTTGGAGAGTTCATATTGCTTATGGCAGAAACGGTGCTGCTGTCCGTGTCGGACAAACAATACAAAGATAAAGTTTTTATTATTATGATCTTCTAATCTCAATGGCATTACTTCGTAGATTAAATGTCCGGAAAAACAGAGCTCATGGCTTTCAAAACTTCTTTTTTCCTGGATGACACCATTGGTTGTTACTGGATCCAAACGACCTCTCAATAATGATGATCTCTATGCTCTTCGTGATGACTGCTTATCATCCAGTCTTATGCCATTATGGGAAAAAGAATGGCACAAGGAGAAAATAAGTAATTAAACAACTACTCATCCATTACCTAACATCTTATTAACCTGAAGGACAGAAAAAGAAAAATGATTTATCTAAGAAAAATGAACCAGCATCTATTGCGAAACCATTCGCAAGAACACGAACGAAAATGATTATTCGCATTACGTTATGCAGATTACTATCTGATATCATACACTATGTGAATCCAATGCTGTTGAAGTGAGTGAATGGTTATTCTTTATCATGGTATGAAATGAAATTTTCAGAGAATTGATAGAGTTTATCTCACAGACAACAGGGAGCATCTCCTATGGCATTGGTTTAGCCTTGCTCATGTTCATATCAGCGGAAGTACGATCATTCCTATTGAACTATCAAGTTTACGGAATGTTCCGACTCACAATCAATTTCAATACCATTCTAACTTCTGAAGTTTTAAGAAAAGTCAGAACATTAATCATTTTTGTGAATAATGAGCGCTTCTTAAGACATTACGTCTCTCACCCAAATCCAGAACTGGACTTACTTCTGGAGAGATTCTAAACTTGACCGCTGTGGACATAGAAAAGATAACTTCCTGCGTTCAGTTATTACAAAACATCTGGTCTATACCTTTCCAAGTATAATTCGGAGAACAGAAATGTAACTAAAAACCGTTTCTGCAGATTACATTAGCGATGACCATGCTTTGGATCATAATAGGACCTGCGGCTATTCCTGGAATTTTGATTTTACTTCTTTTCGTTCCTTTGAACTACTATAGTTCTATTTATATCAAAAAAGCTCAATTGAAGCAAATGAAAGTGAAAGATGAAAGAACGAAAATGTGCAGCGAAGTGAGTTTTCCAAAACAATTATTGAAAACCCATCACTCTTCAGGTGATTTCTGGTCTCAGCATTATTAAGCTTCATGCTTGGGAAGAACAGTTTGAAGAACGTATACGTCTTCTCAGAGAGAAAGAGGTTGAATATCTCAAGTATATCAACTATGCGGGGAGAATGGTCGATGTTGCCAATGCATCTGCCCCTTTCTTGGTACTGTGATAAGGATCATTTCCGGTCTCAAGCCTGTGTTGTTCAGGTAGCAATGACTTCCTTCACATCGTTTGTGTGGATATATGGAGCAAATGAGCTGACACCAGCAGTTGCTTTTGTTTCTTTAGCTATATTCAACCAAATAAGACAACCAATGAGAATACTTGGAATGCTTTCGAACTTCCTTGTTCAAGTCTGACAATTCTTCTATTCTCTAAGTACCGTTCTAGTTTAGTCAATGGTTTCCAACAAGCGTGTGAAAAATTTCTTAAACTTGGAAGAGTTGGATAAGAACGCTGTTGATTCCGATGCTCGAGGACATGCGGTAGTTATGTCTAATGCTTTTCTCAATTGGGAAGGCCCATCTGTACCTGCATCTCTGAAAAAGATAGATCTGCTTATTGATCCTGGTCAAATTGTAGCTGTAGTTGGGCAAGTTGGTAGTGGAAAATCGAGTCTCTTGAATGCTATTATGGGTATGAAGACAAATGGGTAACAAAAGTACATGATTAACATAGGTGAACTGCACAAGTGCAGCGGTACTATACACGTCGATGGAACTGTCGCGTACGTGCCTCAACAACCATGGATTTTCAATAAAACTTTGAGAGAAAATATATTATATGGGGAAGTCTATGATAGAGTGAAATACAAGGAGGTTCACATTCAGACTATGCTCCTACTTCACACAATTATCTTACAGATTATCAGAGCTTGTGAGCTGCATACCGACTTCAATCAGTTTGCTCGCGGTGATCAAACTGAAGTTGGTGGTGAGGTAATAACAGCACTCTGGCAAAAACATTGTTGAACGTTCCAGGGTGTTAACTTATCAGGCGGACAAAAAGCTAGAATAGAATTGGCTAGAGCGCTATATCAGGTTAAAACTTTCTGTTTTCTCTTTTTCAATTTGTATATTCCAGAACCGGTCCATCTATTTGCTCGACGATCCTTTATCAGCAGTAGACTCCAACGTTGGGCGAGCGATTTTCAAAAATGCTTTGGGGGATCAGGGCTATCTGGCTAACACAACAAGGGTTCTGGTTACTCATAACTTACAGTACACAAAGAATGTAGATCATATCTTTGTAATGTTTGGTATTTAATTTTTGAGCCTCTAAAACAACATAACGAGTCCATTACAGATGGATCCATAGTACAAAGTGGAACTTATGAAACTCTGCGAAACGCTCCAGGTCTCTTTGCTGACTTGCTCCGTGAAACTCAGGAGGATGTTAACGATGAAGAAGCTGAAGAGAAAAGTAGTTTCAAAAAAGTTTTTTGTTGTTAAGCTGATTAATTCAGATGAAAGGAAAAGACTTATATCTCGAAGTGAATCTGTTGCGACAGATGCTTCTGAGAAAGGACCTAAGCTGATACAGAGCGAGAAAATGGAACAAGGAAGAGTCAGTGGACATCTGGAACTTGAACACAGTTTCTTTTGCAGATAAAGACAGGTGTATATTGGTTATACTTCAAGTCTATGGGTCTCATCAACTCATTCGGTTTCTTCGGTTTCTTCCTATTGCATTATACATTCATGATTCTACGATCCATCTGGCTATCTGAATGGTCTACGGAAAATATTAAAAATAAGTCAGATAGCAATGATACAGTGATTCCTACTCCGGAACGATTAGCAGTATATGCCGGCTTGGGTCTTTGCGAAGGTTAGATAGGTTAGATTTATAATTTGACAACACCTTTTCAGTCATAATGGTGACTGTCTGTTTTATTTTCCTTGTGTGTGGAACACTCAAATCAGCAACATATCTGCATAACCCTATGATGTCAGCGATTCTACGATCACCCATGCAGTTCTTTGCTGCCACTCCAGCTGGTAGAATTTTGAACAGGCTGACAAAGGTACAGAACCGCCATTCAATCTAATCTTATGATGATATACTTGAGGATATGGAAATCATAGATAACTTGGGTAATAATCTTCGGCAATTCACTCAAAGCATACTTCATGTAGGTTATGCTTAAGACTTATTTTATCTTCATTAGATTTATAGGTTATAATGATCTTCTTCTTGTGCTCATACTCTATTCCTGCTTTTACATTCTTTGCCATTCCTCTGTTTGCAAGCTATTTGGTCATTATTGTGAGTTCATTTTCAAATCCCATCTACAAGTATTGGTTCAGAAATACTTCTTCCCCACCATTCGTCAGCTTCGCAGATTGGAAAGTGTTAACCGATCACCAATCTTATCGATAATGTCTGAGACAATATCGGGAGCTTCTTCAATTCGGGCATACGGTAGATCAAGCTCAACAAATGCTAAAATGGAAGTTGCTGTTGATCAGTTAATCCAAAGCCGTTATCTTTCCATAAGTACTAATCGTTGGTGCGCTGCCAGATTAGAGCTTCTAGGAAATACTGTGGTATATATCACGAGATTACAGTATTAAAAGAGATTATCCAGGTACTGTCTGCTGCTGTCTTAGGAACTATTTCGTCTCGTTACTTTGGTTTGAGCCCTGGAATGGTCGGCCTGTCAGTCTCTTTCGCTTTAAATGTATGTCTGCAGAAGACTTTCTAAGCAGATTCATCCATTCTTAGATCACAGAAGTATTGAACATGGCTGTACGGTTGCTTGGAGAGTTGGAAACAAACATCGTCTCTGTAGAAAGAGTTAAGGAGTATCATATGCTTCCATCAGAAGTATGTAATCGGTTTAAGAACGATTCCAATACTATACATTTTGAAGGCTGACTGGATAGTTAAAGAAGCCGTTGGTGATAACTGGCCTCACAATGGTGCTGTATCCTTAAACGATATTAAGTTCAGCTATAGAGAAGACCTTCCTCTAGTCTTAAAAGGCATCAGTGTAAAAATCAACTCGGGAGAAAAAGTCGCCATTGTAGGAAGGACGGGATCAGGTTTGAACTTGAAATATAGTGAAGCTGACCACAATTTTCAGGGAAGAGCACCTTAACATTAGCTTTGTTCCGCATGGTAGAGTTGAACGAAGGTTCTATCGAAATTGATGGAGTAAATCTCAGTGGGTTAGGTCTTCATCAGATCAGAGGACGCATGGCCATAATACCTCAGGTGCTTCGTCTATTTTTGATGTTTCACAGTTATTTTAGCATCCAACTCTTTTCTCGGGAACGTTAAGATTCAATCTCGACCCATGTAATCATTATTCTGATGATCTTGTCTGGTCCGCAATACGTAGATGTCAACTGTATGATTTTGTATGTTCCAACCCTGATAAGCTTAACTTATCTGTAGCTGAACGCGGAAACAACATGAGGTTTAAAAGTCCTAGAAATGTTAAGAGAAATGCTATCTTCTAGTGTTGGAGAAAGACAGCTAGTCTGTCTGGGTCGGGCTCTTCTTCAAGGAGGAAAACTTGTGGTTTTTGATGAAGCCACATCAGCCGTTGATCTAGCTACAGATGCGTTGATTCAGAAAATTGTACGAGAAGAGTTTGCCGAAGCCACAGTTCTGACGATAGCACATCGTTTGGACACTATAGCGGATTATGACAAGTTGGAGAAAGATAAATAAAGACTACGAAGATGATAAATTTCAGGATAATGGTGATTGACTATGGAAAGCTGGTTGAGTATGATTCTCCACAAAAATTGTTGGAAAACCCACAGTCAATATATTCTCAGATGGTAGAGAATTTCAGCAAATACTGATGAATCCTACGAATTTGTTTACAAACAACAAAAAAAAAGAAAAAAAAGGAAAAATAGAAAAAATTTATTGAAGAAGCCTAAGCTATAAACTATTATTAAATACACTCGTATTTGCAATTGAAATTTAAATGTCTTATTGCACCAATAAGTTCCATAAGTTATTGTGCCAATACTTGATATGACTAGTTAGTTTACATTCCTGAGTATTTTGGACCTTCAGCACCTTCAGGCGTTACCCAATTGATGTTCTGGGTAGGATCCTTGATGTCACACGTTTTGCAATGAATGCAGTTTTGAGCATTGATTTGTAATCTTGACAAGGATGGGTCATCCTCGCGGGGCAGAAATTCGTAAACACCTTAAACAGTTTTTTGCATCAGCAACCTTGAGATACGAAAATATACCAGCCGGGCAGAATCTTCCTTCGGGTCCATCGTAAAGAGCTAGATTAACATCCAATGGAACATTGTCATTTTTAAGGGTTAAATGAGCTGGCTGATTCTCTTCATGATTGGTTCCAGTCAAAGAAACTGAGTTGAGAATATCGAAAGTAATTTCGTTATCTGGTTTAGGATAGTCGATTGGCTAAAAACTATTATCAACAAGATAGTTTTCAGAAAGACAAACTTTGCATTGATCTTTGGGCAGTAATTTTTCGTTATCAGGCTTTCCATGATCAAGAGTCCATGGCTCCTTACCACGACCCAAAACAAAGAAAAGACCAGAGTACACAAGACCTCCAATCCATCCTTAAACACAATAGTTCTCCGCTTGAAAAATTAACCTTTCTTACCTAATGCAGAGTTGAATGATGGACGGACATTACGAGTAGCCTTCAATTCTTGCAAAACGTATGTTTTCTCCAAATCTGCACGGAAGTTTTTAGGCTCCACCGCTTAAATGTCATAATTGAGCTCAGAATAGCGCTTATTCCTTACTTGAAACTTCGTCATTCAGCTCTTTGAAAATATTTTCAGCAGCTACCATTCCACTCTTCATAGCGTTATGAGTTCCCTTCAGCTTAGCTACATTCATGAAACCAGCGGTACATCCAACCAAGCATCCTCCTTTAATAATAACAGTTTTCCAAAAAATGTGATAGCTAAATTTACCAGGGAATGAAAGATGAGGAACTGATTGATAGCCGCCTTCGTTTAAGGCTCTTGCTCCATATCCGATACGTTTTCCACCTTCGAGTTGTTTTCGAATAGAAGGATGAGTTTTGTATTTTTGGAACTCCTAAAACAACATTTTACATACAAAACTAAGAAAAAACGAAACCTTGTAAGGATTCATATATGGGTTTTTGTAATCGAGAGCTACAACGAATCCAATTGATACCAACGGTAAACCTTCATCTTCAATGTGATATAGGAAAGATCCACCATATTGTTCTTTAGGCTGTATACGGAAACAATGTTAAATATATGCATAAATTATCCCACCAGTGGCCATCCCATAGTGTGCTCAATGTATCCTGGTCTATGCTTAGCTGGGTCGATTTGCCAGAGTTCTTTGAGGCCGATACCATAAGTCATAGGGTGAGTTCTGAGGTTGAACTTATCCAGCACCTGAGAAGAGGAATAAACCATGTTATTAATTTGTTCCTCAAAAACGAGCACCTGTTTAGTCAAATGACCGCGGCATCCTTCAGCAAAAACAGTGCATTTTCCATGTAACTCCATACCTCTAGCAAAACCATCCTACATATATGATAAGTGTACGAAGCAATATGACATGAACCATACCTTTGGAGCACCATCCTTTCCAATTCCTACGTCATTAGTAGCGATTCCTTTAACACTGCCATCTTCATTGTAAAGAACCGGAAAACAGAAAAGTTATTGATATTAACAATGTGCACAACCGCGCTTCATCTACGTAAAACACAAAATGAAAAACAAACGCGCGCGACAATCAAAAAAAATAATCAAATTCCCTCATCCTACTATTGGTCAAATATGTTTTACAGTTTTATTTACGCTTATCATTTCTTTACTTACTTCCGATGCGGCGATTCCGGGCCAGATCTCTACTCCTGCAGCCTCTGCTTGTTCGCCGAGCCAACTAACAACATGTCCCAATCTAACGATATAGTTACCGTGATTATGAAGGGGAATTCCAGGGAAAACTGGCAAGGGAATACGGCCAGTTTCCGTGAGAATTCCTAACGATTCGGACTGAATTTAATATAGTTCATGACATATTTTCCCTCGGAAATACCGTGACTTGTTGATGAACTGGAGCCCCTAGCTCTTTCCAATTAGGGAAAAGCTCATCTAGAGCTTTAGTCTCAATAACAGCTCCGGATAAAGTATGTGCTCCGATTTCTGGAGCTTTCTCAACAACACAAACACGTATCTCTTGAATGAATTATATCAAAAGAGTATATCTTGTTGTCGAACCTTTTCCCTCCTTCTCAGCTAATTGACGTAGCTTGATTGCCGCTGATAATCCACTAGGACCTCCACCGACAATAACAACATCATACTGATCAGATTCTCTTGCCATGTCAACTTCTTTCCATCTAGGATCATTTTGACGATCCTACAAAGAGCTCTTAATGTTTTCTCTGAGATTTACCAAAAAAGACCTTAACAGTGTAATGGGTTGTTGTCCATTTACCATTAACTACATTTCGCAAGTTAGTTGTGGTTGAAAGAAGGCGATAAGGACTTAATCTCATCTGAAGAGGTTCAAATCAATGGTTAAAAGTAAGCTATATATGCATTTAAATTGTAAATCTATTAAGTGAAAGACTAAATTAAGAACGCTGCTAGTTAACTAATATTTTCCGTATCTAGGGTTCGAAGTCCATCGATAGCCGTAGAGCGCACATATCGACCGGTCTTATCGCCAAAACTCGCTTTGCTTGTTTTTAAGTGCAGAGAACGATCACATGGCTTTAAAAAAAGACAAAAACATGGTTTATAAGATTTATTATTAAACGAGGCTGTATGAGGATTTCATTGATGAGATCATGCAAGAGTGCAGCTAATTACAAACGAATGGCATAGTACATAGATATGTGCGAAATGCTTTAGAAATTTCTTAAAATGTATTTCAATTTCAAAGTTTATTCTGTTGGATTCGATACTTCCGTTACGTTTTCTGTTTTTTCCGTTGTTGACATTGTTTCGTCGAAAGCTTCTTCTGCTGTCTCGATAGATTCTGCTTTGCCATTCTTCAACCAATTGACGAAGTTTTTAGCCTGAATACTGAACTTTGATCTTTGAAAAAAAAATAAAAATGCCTTCGAAGATATAGTGGCATCTTCTGTCTCCGAAGTGTTCGAGTTTATATTTTCTCCCTGAAGTCAACACCAATTACTGCAAATCGCCTCCGAATCATTTACCGGTTTTTCCTCGCTAGAACTGATCGAAGGACTGGAGGTCGATGTTCGCAACCAGGTAGAAAATCTGTTGGTTTGTGGTTTGGACGGCTCACCGCCATTTTCCGGAGTTGTGTTCCCTCCCCCGCGGAACCAATTAGTCAAACTTTGCTTGACATTCGCACCTTTCTCTCCTTAAAGCTCGATGGATCAAAACAACAAAGTTAATAAAAACCTATTGATTTTCCCGTCGAAGATAAAACCGTCAAAGCCTTTCGTGCTCCTTCTGAACCGGAAACAGCATTGTCAACACGCAAAACAACATCGTGAAATCCCATTTGGCCAGCAAAAGCGTGTCTGTTTGATTCCGAAATGTATGATATTTCGAGAAAATTTAGTACCCCAAAGGTGTTCCAACCAAATCTTCGTAGTCGCCATTCATCCACAATTTATAATTTCTGAACACATAAAAGTTAGTCGGGAAATAAGCATTTAAGATTTACTTCGTCTGCTTCCATTCATTAATGAAAAGAGAACCAAAATCACCCAGAGAAGAGAGCAAGTCACTACGAGCAGTAGCTCCTAATGAGAGTAAATAATTCCGGAATTGGAGCTTAATCCATTCGTCTCCACCTTCAAAAACTGCAAAAACAATTTATCACCGAGCTTTTCGGAGTCTCCTTTACCAGCAGAAGCTTCTCTATTAGCATCTATATTCTTAATAAGATAATCTCCGAAGCGTAAATCGGCAGCAGTGAGCGAAAGCAATTTCTTCAACTCCGGCTTCAAAACATCAACTTGTCCTATGCCTTGTTCATCAACCTTCAATTAAAAAAAACGATAGTAGAAAGTTTTGAAGGAGAATTTCCTACGGTTATTATGACATCCCACAAGTCTTTCTTGGTCATAAACAAAACATTCGTAGCTCCCACAGTAAATCCACGATTAGATGGTGTTCGTAAGAGATCCAAATAGGATATGGATGCATACGGTTGAAAACAATTTCCCTCTGTGAAAATAGCCAGCGGAAATCCAAAGGAATCGTGCTGTTTTATTGTATCTTCTAAAGGACTGGGTGGTCTCACTACTATTTCGTCGTCTGCAAGTTTTACGATTGGGAAACCCCCCTTGGATTGTAAGAAACCTTCAGCATCAACCACTGGAACCTCTTCAATAACATTCTCCTGAGTATTCGTATTTTCCATAAAACAGGAATGGAGCAAACCCTCTTCTAACAATTCTTAATAAGATATGAATGAAATTATATTGGAACAAAGACTAACTAGGGAAGAGCGACAAGAGCCCGATGATAGTATCTCCTAAATCCTGCACTGGGGTAATATTGAATAAGACCTGAGGAGAGGATTAAGAGAACTATGAGTGATTTTAGTGTTACTTTTTTTTCCAGCAACATCAACTTGAACAGCAAGATAACACGATGTCGGAATTTGGAGAAGAGGTCTTGAAGAGATATGTCTGTAAAGAGGGTATAAAAACTCGGTGATGTGAAACACTGTCTTCTAACCCATGGACGCTGCTTGTCCATCCACAAGATCCCCTTCAAACATGTCGCAGAGATTCGTGTACATCTGAGCCAAGACTTCAACCTCAAAAACACATCTGTTTCTTTCATATATCGAAGACGATCAACCTTGGAGAAATCTCTTTCATTGAAATAAGCTTGTGTAATTAGTTGTAGTTTAGCTTTCAGAACTCCAAACAAGGGTGATCTTGATATGACACAAACACTTTTCTGCACGGTACTGCGCGTGACATCATCGGTTTTGGCAACCAGATCCTACAAAAAGTTGTTTTCCAAAGATGTTTAACGGGCACAAACAAACATTTGCTGATATTTGTCGATAACACGAAATTCCGAAAACAGTTTCACCTGGTGAATCTTTGGATGGTAAGGTGAAATAGATGACATCTGCAATAGAAATCGAATGAGACGGTGAATCCTTTCAAGACTTCCAACCACTAGCCGTATTATGAGCTCCATCTGGAAGGGCTAGTGCGGGCAGGTGCGCCCATTGTTCTGGTAAGGAAGTCTCCGAATCTTCAGATAAAGGAGGATAACAATATTCGACCTGAATAAAAAAGGAAAAAAACATAAAATCTCCGAATGAAAAAAACCTGGCACCCTTTTTTGTGATGGAAACCAACTACGACAACATGCAGGACGTGGCTCATAAAAGCCTTAAAAGAAAATGACTCAATGTCGTTATTGGAATGAGTAACCATCAACGAAAAAACGTTCCCAAAATCATAAAAACAAACTAAATTCCGAAACTTTATTCCTGAGCAAGGTTAAATAGGAGCACAATGAAAGATCGTTCAGGTAAACATTCATCAAGCTGGCAGAGATCGTATAATACAGGATAATGGAGGTATTGAAATTGCTAATATTATTAATCGACAATCTAACAGGAAGCGAAATTGAAATAACTGAGGATAACTGAGGATAACTATCAGAAGACACTTCATACTTCCCGTAAAGAATACTCATCTCAAATGAGGTAGAAGAGAAAATATTGCACTGGATTAAATACAGAGTAAGGCAGTGGATACTTGTACGATTATTGATATAACTAAAGGCTAAACCCATTATCTGAATAAGTCTTGGAAGATTGTATAATACACAGGGTACGGTGGTGGAACCGTTTTGTTTGGAACATATTAGGTTGTCATCAACCAAGGGTTTTTAGCGATCGTTTCTGGCGAACGATCTCCGTAGTCATATAAAAGCTCTTCGTTTACTTTTATTTCGCGTTTAGCTACCAATATCAAATGATGAGACCCATGGAAGTCGACTACCTTAAGATTCATTTGAATGCATCAGTGGCTGTAAAACTCGCTTACTTTGGTTCTCAAATTTGGTCTAAGATAACTATGATTAATTAGACGCCCTTTGTGTTTGCTTTCTTTGGTAGCATCAATACACCACCTCTTATCTTTATAAGTGAAGAAATACATGTAAGACCCTAAAAAGTAGTTTTTCAGTTGCATTCTTTCGCAACTTTACCTATGTTCGGGTCTTGTGAATATTCAATTTCGCGATTCTTCGCTATGGAGTACTCCATCATATCGCCTGAGAAATGCTTTAAGACTCGTTCAATAGATGAGTCAAACCTTTATATTCTACTACGAATTCATTCTTCTGGAAGCTACGTCCTGCTTTAATTCCACGACCTTTCACAGGGTCACAATATACAAACAAATGCTCCTCGTTAGAGCCGGTAAAAATGGCTTCTTGAAGAACATATCTTTCCTCTTCCTACAAATAAATCATTCATAAGAAACAACAGCACTAGCTTTCAAACCTCTATCTGCTTTCCAGTCTTTCTACTACTTCGACGAACGGGAAAATACTCAGTAATTTTGTGGTTAGATACATCTTGAACAGCTTTCCTTCTACAACCAAATTATTAATAAAGTGAACTAAAGTGAACACTATGAGACTGCTAGGGCGATCATGTTAATTTCCTATGGTCACCGTATGGGATTAGAGAACAACGAGAGAAACGGGAATAAATTCGTAATAATATATTTGGGAAAAAACTAACGTTTTCCGAGTATTGGAATTATGATCTTTTTCCTTTGGAGTATCAGGAACCATGGAGGCTCTCTTTTTGCGGCGTCCCCCCCGCTTTTGAGCAACAACGTGACCGAGCATTTCCACACTCGTTCTAAAACATAATATTGTTATGAATTCGATCAAAACAGATATGAACTGTATGAGCTGTCTACAATCAACCAATCAAAAAAGTTAAATACTACACAAAAAGTCTGGAATCAAACGGAAAATTATTGTTAAACAACTTTTTTGTAAGTAGCGTCGGTATGAGGACGCGACGCGTACGCGCGCGGTCAAAACCAGTCATTTTGTATGAATGTAATAGGAATAAATTTGGGAAAGCATTGAAGAGGATATCTGAATAGATCAAGTTTTAAGTTTCTATAGGAGAATCGCAGGAAATATTTAAAATAGAGAAGTGTGGGAATTCCCTTATTTGGTATCAAATTAACTAAGAAACACTTTGTTATTGAGCTGCTGGTGTGCACAATGATAACTACCCTCGTTGTGAGCATATTTCATAATTTTGAGATTCGGTCGTTGTTATGTTTTCTATAGATTGAAAATCATCGCTGGCATTCAGATAGACTAGTCATCATTTCAAAAAAAAGAACCTTGACGTCACGTGACTTTTCACGCGGTGGTTCATTTTTGCGGTTATTTTACAAACATCCGGCGTACGCAACGGTACCTCAACCTTATTTTCAAAAAAACTTTAATAATTATCTACTTCTAACAGTTAATGTATTCTAAATTTAGCATATATATTTATTTATAATTCTTGAATCGCGTAATTGCGAATAGGCGGAGCTTATCCGCAGTCAGATGGAGCAGGCGCGCCCTGCCGACCGGTCAACCACTTTCTCTCTCTTTTCCTCTCTCTTTCCTCCCATCTCTCTCTCTTCTTCTTTCTCTCGGATACTTTTAGTTTCATTTTTAAAACTTAGGCTTTACTCATGAAAATATGTGCAAAATAGATATCATAATTATCGCCGTCATTGAACTTTTTTTAAAAATAACGTAAAAAGCGAATGTCACTTCACTTGTCTTGAAAGGATGAACAAATTAATTTCACTTTTCAATTTAGTAATCATTCTGGTATATGGATGATTTGTTGTCAGTAGCCTTAAGCGAAGCTGGTTTAGATGAATTTTTTCAAACTGAAACTCCATCGGATGCTGTTACTGGGTATGCACTTGCATGACACTTTTCATTTTTTTCATTGTTTCTTTGAAGAACAACTGCTTTAAATAAAGATACTTCGGAGGTATCCTCATATAACGAGGAACATTCGGAAACTCCCTCGAATGCCGTTACTCCAGTATCAGTGGAAAACAATGGCTCCCCTACTTCATCGCAGCCACCATCAAATGCAGGAGTTACGGCAGAAGGTTCGTATTTTATTTCGCAATCGCGTTCACTTATGATTTTGTTTTAGTTCCCAGTGCGGGAAATAGAATATCCCATTCTGCTTCCACGCCAGTTTTACCCTCAGAAGCTGTAGAGCAACAAACGTTTAACAGTAATCCCGTTCCGGAGAACAGGTTGACTTTCAGTTTCACACATTCAACTTAATTGAAAATTACAGGAACGGTAATTTTCCAACAGTTTCATCTGAGAGAGTGCTTTCACAACCTAATAGGAATATTGTTCAAACTGCAAATGGCTCACCACTTATACGCTCTTTCCAAACTGTATGTTCCAATTTTTACAGTCTTCTTCATTTTCTTAATTCAGGAGGATGGTCAAACCATTTTTCGGGCAGTACGGGCTACTAACGGGAACAGCATTCGCTTAGTTGGTCGAGGGGGAACTACAACTGGAAGAACCGTAGCGACAACTATATCCACTGAGAGTGTACAGCCTTCTCGGGTTGTTGTTGTACGACAAAGCACACCGAATGGTAATCTATCTAGGCTATGCTCTTTCGTATATAGTAATATTTGTAGGCACCGTTTTTGTGCGTAAAACCGTCCCTCCGGGGTCAATGATAACAACGAGTGTCGGACGAGGTGGAACAATAATAAGGAGACTTGTAACCCGTGGAGGTGCTACAGGAATCAGACGTGGTACAGTTGGAGCCACTCCTATAAACTCATATGCAAGGTTTGTTTTACTCGTCTGCTTGTTTAGATAATTTAATTGTTTCTTGTAGAACGGCTACAAGCCATAATCAAATTCATGTTGAAACTGGTCACCAGTATACTGCTTCTACACCTATTCCTTCCTCAAGAGCTAATCCACGACTTCTTAGAACGCGTGCGGGTCAAGTCTTACCTCGTGGAACCAATGTCTATCGAGCTCCGGCTAGTCAAATTATTCCTCGTACGAATGGAGGTAATACTTTTCTTCTATGTGGTTCACTGTTTTTTGATCTACAGCTTACACCCCGATATCCTCAAGGCAGTACAATCGAGGTGATTCCTATGTTGTTCAACCCTTGTCTAGGAATGCATATCCCCAGCGATCAGGTTTAATGCCTATTGCTGGAAATTCGGCATCGTATCCTAATATGGTTTGTTAGATTCATATACATTTAGCTATGATTTTATCTTCAGTTTGATGAAAATGAAGCCGTTGACTCTGTTTTTGAGCCTAAAACTGTATTCAGGGAATCAAATTCGAACGCTAATGAGATAATACAGGTAGTATTCTGGAAATTTAGTTTTTTCTACTTTTCAATACTTTAGGGTACACATATAAGCAGATCTCATCCTCAACTGTCATCATTATCAATAGAAAGAAGAAAACCCGAGCTTTCAATACGACCTGCTCCTTCACCTCGTGCTGTAGCTGGATCAGAGCAGTTCAACAGTGGACCCAACTCTGCCGTTCACTCACCTAGCCCAGCTATCAAGGTAGAATCATAGTTGTGTTTGTTGTAATTTCATTATTGTTTGTTAGGATGGCGGAGCGAAAGCACCCCCTTCAAAACTGCAAAGAGCTAAAGATGAGATGACTTCTGTTATACAAGCATCTAAAGACAATTCGGATCTTATTGACGAAGAGGTAGTTGTAGATGACTTTTTCCGTTTCTGTTTTTTTTATCTGCTTTGCTCACGTCACGTTAAAGTGCAACTATGAACAGATGTGAGAAAAAACTCTTTCTAACAGACATTGCAAAAACAATAGGACAATTCGTTCTTTGAAACTTTTTATTATCTTTTCAATGTGAATTTATTCATTTAAGGAGGAGAACTTGGGATATGCTGAAACATACGCGGAATATCGACCTTCCAAATTGAGATCTGGATTGGCTCATCCTGATAGTGTTGTAGAAACTGCTTCTTTAAGTAGTGTTCAACCTCCGGATGTAAAATATCATTGCACTATACCCGAAGATGTAAGTTTGCTTTATTCCTTATTTTTTTTCATCTCAATCTGTTTGCACTGTGTTAATATAATCGTATTTCAGCTGATTGATACGGGTGCCATATCTGCTTTACAACTAGAAGCTGTTATCTATGCTTGTCAAGCGCATGAACAACGTCTTCCAAGTCAAGAGAGATGTGGCTACCTTATTGGTAATTAATATGCTGATATATACATTTGTATGGATATTTGTCCTTTGAAGGTGACGGTGCTGGAGTTGGAAAGGGCAGAACGGTTGCATGCATAATTTATGAGAATTATATGTTGGGTAGGACACGATCCATATGGTTATCTGTGTCTGCTGACCTTAAGTATGACTCAGAGAGAGATCTCCGCGATATTGGCGCTGGGAGAATAAAGGTTATTCATTTCATCATCTGTCGCATTAACAATAATATTAATATTCAGATTTATGCTTTAAATAAACTTAAATATTCCAAAATTTGTGGTAAAGAAAACGGTTCAATAAAACGAGGATGTATTTTCGCGACCTATTCCTCTTTAATTGGAGAGAAGCGCTTGGAAGGTTCTAATTACCGGAGTCGTTTAAAACAATTAATACAATGGTTTGGTGTGGTATGTCACATCGTAAAAGTAAATTTACGAGCTTTCGACATTTACAGGAATATGATGGAGTTATTGTTCTTGACGAGTGTCATCGTGCCAAAAATTTGTGCCCCATCGCTGGTGGAAAACCGACGAAGACAGGTCAAGCAGTTCTAGACTTGCAACGTTGCCTACCTAATGCAAGGGTTGTATATGCATCTGCCACTGGCGCAACAGGTGGGAGCAAAACCATATTTGTATTTGAAGAGGGAACTTTTAAGAGCCAAGGAATATGGCATATATGACACGAATAGGATTGTGGGGACCTGGTCAAGCTTTTCCCGAATTTTCTGATTTCATCAATGCAGTTGAGCGTAGAGGAGTTGGCGGTATGGAAATCGTGGCTATGGATATGAAGGTAATTATTGCTGACTATTGTTTCCTATTACCGTTTGTTTCTCAGCAAAGAGGGTTATATCTCGCTCGTCAGCTTTCTTTCCGCGGTGTTTCATTTCGAGTAGAAGAAGTTCCATTGTCAGATGAATTCATCAAAATGTATGATGATTCTGTCAAATTATGGCTGGAATGTCGTCGACAGTTTCAAGTATGGCCAATGTGTAAAAATATTAATCGATTTCATTCCCAATTTCAGCTCGTTTTGAGTACTATGTCAGATGAAGAGAGATCAGCTTGTAAACAAGTTTGGGGACAGTTCTGGGCTTGTCATCAACGCTTCTTCAAATATCTCTGTATTGCTGCTAAGGTATGCCTATACAATCATCTCTTCAAACATAAATCTTAAAGGTCGAGACCTGTGTGAAAATAACCAAAGAAGCATTAAAAAATGGGAAATGCGCTGTGATAGGTTTACAGTCAACTGGTGAATCAAGAACATTAGAAACATTGGAAGAACTGGGAGGGGAACTTACTGAATTTGTGTCTACTGCAAAGTACAGAAACACTTTCTTTGTTATACTTTCTTCTTTAATTGTAGGGCTGTGCTGCATGGATTGATTGACAAGCATTTTCCAACTGAGAAAGGGCAATGTGTTGATGTATTTCGAGACTTTGACCGCATGTTCGATGACTTTGATAAGCCTAAGAAAAGAAGTATTGGCGTGACCTGAATCTTTCCATTAATCCAAATGTTAAAGAGAACAAGCGTCGAGCAGGGTTTGATATTCTTGATGAGTTGGGACTGGGCTTTGGTCCAACCATTAGTGATTCTCCTGAGCCTAAAAGATCTCGTAACGATGATGATGAATCTCGCTCTGTTGGATCTTCCGATGGTTCAGGCAGCAGTGATGACAGTGATACAGATGGTGAAGTAAATCTAGGTAAGATCTATCTCACAATTCCCATACAAACTTGTAATTACAGGAGATAAAGAAGAAGATTGGTTGAATGCATTGAAAGCAGAAGCAGAATCTAGCGGTTCGGAAGATGGCAATGATGATAGTGACGTCGACAAAGATGTTTGTGATATTAGCGGAAAAAAAATGAAGCCTCAATGTTTCTAGGGAGACGATGATGCTAAGAGTAGTGCTGATGACGACGACGAGTTTAATCCATTCAATTGTGATTTTTCTGTTGGTATGTTCCCCAGGGACTGTTATTTGCTATGCTTTTCAATTCACAGACGATCCTTGGGCTGCCAAGCAACAAGTAATCGAAGACTCTCCTGAGAAAAAACCATCAATGACAGAAGAAGAGTTATTATTGAGGAAGGAGAGGCGACGGGAACGTAAAAGGAAAAGAAGGATGGAAAAAGAGAAGGAGAAGAAAGTCGCTGCCAAAAAGCGGGAAATCAATAGTCAGGCTATGGTAAATCCAAACTTGGTGTAAATTTTCAACTCTCATCATAATTGTAGAAGAGTACAGCTACCCAGTTTTTGAGTTCTTCTCGTATCATCGATGACAGTGGAATGGGATCAGATATCAACCCCCAGATGATTAAGGTATATTCCTGGTAACACGACGAGTAGACTGTAATTGCTCTTTCTCAGGCCGAACTTCTGGCTGCTGTGGAACGGTTAGGACCTGCACTACCTGCTAATACTCTTGATCAATTGATCGATGAGTTAGGTGGACCTGAATTTGTTGCTGAGGTATGATTCCTGACTGCGATCAGCGCGTTCATTCGAAAAATTTAGATGACTGGAAGGAAAGGTAGAGTTGTCACTCGTGAAGATGGAGAAGTTGCATACGAATTGCGCTCTGCCGGTGCCGATGTGCCTTTAGAGTTGATGAACATGGACGAAAAAGACAAATTTATGAAGGGAGATAAGCTAGTAGCTGTTATATCTGAGGCAGCCTCCAGCGGTATCTCTCTGCAGGTCAGTAGTTTAACTGAAAAAGACAGCTCAAAAACTGATTTTTACAGTCTGACAGACGTGCTCACAATCAGAGGAGGAGAGTTCACATAACATTGGAGTTGCCATGGTCTGCTGATAAAGCTATTCAGCAGTTCGGAAGAACCCATCGTTCGAATCAAGTCAGCGCCCCAGAGTATATATTTTTGATATCGGAGTTGGCTGGAGAAAAACGTTTTGCTTCAATCGTTGCCAAGAGATTAGAGTCTCTCGGAGCTCTAACTCATGGAGATCGTAGAGCTACCGAATCTCGAGACTTATCTCAATTCAATCTGTAAGTCTACATGCATCAAGTTGTGGTTCACAGTTGTTTTTTCTAGGGATAATAAGTATGGTAGATATGCTCTCGATGTTCTTTTGAGGACAGTAGTAGCTGCTGCACCACCACTCATTCCCGCTCCTGAATACAAACCGGGAGATTTCTTTGCTGATATGAGGCTGTATATGGAAGGTGTTGGATTACTATCAAGATTGGACAATGGTCAATACGTTATCGAACGTGAAGCTGCTACAATTCCCAAGTTCCTTAACAGGTATGATATCTCCTAACGATTTTTTTCATTACTTTACTCTTAAGGATTCTTGGTCTTCCTGTACATGCCCAAAACGCCTTGTTCGGTTATTTCACTGATATAGTTAGTGAACTGATCAAGCAAGCCAAGCATGACGGAACCTATGATATGGGAATTATGGGTTTGTTGATCATTCGGTTGAAACCATTATTCATATTGTTTTGTTAAGATCTGGGAACCGGCGGTGATCAAGTCAGAAAGTTAGAAACTAGGGTTTTCCTTGGAAGAATGGAGAAAGGCAGTTTCCGAGTTGAAATCCATAAGATTGGTGTTGAACGAGGAGTCAGTTGGGAAGATGCTTTTGCAATTTATCATGAGCATAATGTTGGAGAGGTAATAGTTAATCGTTATTCTTTCGAAATTGAATTCAATAATTTCAGGATGGTTTCTACGTTTCCACCTCTTCTGGTCGAAAAACTGCTTCTTTGGTTTATGGTATTGGCAAGAAAAGATTGGAAACTGGTGCCCGGCTATATGCCATTACCAGACCTTCTACTGGCCGTTCACCTAAGCTAGAGACTTACTCTGAACTGAGCAAACGATTCACCAAAGTCACACCAGATGAAGCTAAGCAAGTTTGGCTGGATCAATATGATGGTATTGCTACCCAGTAATTCTAAGTTCTCATGTTTAATTTTATAGGAGCTAACCAAATGTGTCAACATAGCTTTGTTCATGGCAAGTGTAGGAATGAGCAAAGTGGTGTTTACTGCGAAGTTGGACGAAGAACAAGAACATATTTCGTCCTTTCTGGATCTGTATGGAACTTTTTTCTTGAATATTATACTAGTATCTCTTTCATTGTAGGTGCTGTCTGTCTGGCCAGTTGTTGAAGATGTTTTGAGCGGCAAAGATAGACGAGCTTCCCGAATGCAAGTTATCAGAGTAAGAACAGATCAAGATCAAAAAATTGTTGGTAAGTTCCGAGCACATCGTAGAGCGAAACTGAAATTTGAATTAAGGTTTACTGGTATTACCTCAGTTTGTTCGAAACTTAGTGACACAATTAGAAATTCATTGTGGCCGTTGTTTCGTTGAAAACGAAGGTAACAAATAATTCGAGTGATGTACGGGTATGATAGGTTTTCTAACTTGGTTTTGTTTTCTGTTGTTATACGTTTTCAAATTTTTACCAGCCGTGTACGTAACACTACGTGTTGCCTTTCGGTTGACCGACTATTTTTGTTTTGTTATCATTTTTTTTATTTGAAATTTGCAAAACTTTTACTTTATATATGAAACTATACCTCTGTTTGACTTTTGAATCCATTAGTGCTGATTGAAGCGCATCTCTTTCTAATTGCTAGACACGGTTTCATAAAAAATTAAATACAATACATATTTAGGCTGATTAGACAATTACATAAAGTGTAAAAAGAATAAAAAATAGGAACCATTTCTTGGATCTCTACACAGTAGTACACATGCAAACATAATGAAATGAAGAAACTAAATGAGAGCTCAAACTAAACTATAACAAAATTTCAATTCCATTCGAGACTCCGTAATCTAATGGTACAGTCCCAGAATGATCCGCTCAGAACTCATTCGATGAAAAAATAGTTTATTTATTAAAATCCAAGTTTTTGGGCCGAAAAAAAATTAACGAATCGTATACAGTAATCCAAATTACTGGTGTATCGAACGGGATTGGTGCGAGACATTTTTGGTGGCAGTTTAAAAATATTTTCTTCCTTCAAATAAGGTTATGAACACCCGGGAATTTTTTCTACTTCGCAACCCAGGGTTATTGAGTTTGAAAGAAAGTTTTCCATGGGTGAAGTTCTTCAATGAGTTGAGGAGGGTGAATACTTCTATCTCCTCGTTGAATCTTTCGTTGGACAGGAGAAGAAAAGATCCCAACTTCCCTATCACTATTCTTTGATATCTTTCCTGTTTCAGGATTCGTTGTTCTGCTTTTGTTTATTTGCCTAATTTTATTATTTTCGTGCTGTTGTATGAAGGCTGCTCACACTTTTTTGTTGATAACAATAACGTCTTAATGTCGTGTATCATAAGCGGTGGGGCTTGCTTGCGACTGATCTTAACATTATGGATCATAGTTGTTATTGAACGAGAAACCTTTTTGAAAACATATCTTCATATACGGAATTATCTAGAAGCAATAAGGCTCTGGACACAAAGATGATTGAGTGAAATATTCATATTTGCTGTTAACGAGAATTATGTCTCCACACTCGTAAAGTGAATAGGCAGAATGATTTTACCAAAGAAGGGGAAAATGATATTTTGGTGGGATAATCTAGATGATTGCGATAGGGATTTGTGGCATGTGGGTACGATTATTATCCATATCAACTATTCGGAATGCTTCTAATAACTCGTTAAGGTCAATAAATCCGTCTTTGTTGAAGTCTATTGACTCCGCGATTTGGCGCACATAAGCAGCTGAGAATGTTCGCTTTGTGTACTTTCCAAGAACCTGAAACGAACATGATGAGCATTTTCGAAAATTCTGCGGCATTACTTCAATAGCATCTATGAACTCCTGCATAGACACCTGTCCGGAATTGTCTTTATCCATAAACCGGAATAACGTCTCCAATGTGTTCTTATGACGGTACAAAGATTCAACCACGTCAGAATCCTACAAAACGAATATGATATTTTCGGATATCTAGAGAAATCACCTGGGTGGTAGCTGATTTTCCTACTTGGACGCATGAATTGTTTTCATTGTACAAAACATATCGACCATCTAGTGTTAACGTTGCCAATTTCATGGCTAATACCCTCCAAGGTAATTGTAATCCGGTCACTCTCTGTACTGTTTCGGCCCAAACATGAATAGACAGCTGACCTAAACAGAATAGGATAAGCCGGATTGTCTATCCTCAAAACCTTTGTTTTCATCATCAGCTGCCTCAAACGCCTTTTGTAATTGTGATTGGAACGAGCTTAACTTTTCACGCAACTCTTTAATGGCTGATTCTTCAACCAATCCGAGTCTGGAAAAAGAAATTGAAAAACAAAAATGGAGAAACTGGGACCTCTGTCTTGACGTCGTTTTTCTATGAGTTTTACTTGCCATGTATTGTACAAAATGAGGCTGTTTGGTCTTCCCAATCAATTTGACGTAAGCACCTCTGTTACTTCCTACTTCGTAATAGTTCGAAGCGGAGAACACTGTTAATACCCTGAAAGCTTATCACTACTAAGAAGTTTGTGTGTAACTAATTTACATATTGTTGTGTGACCATTCATAGCCTTCAAATTTGCATTCATGAGATCGTATGATCATCTTAAACTTATTCCTTAAATTGCAAATTAGAAACATATGAGAGGCGAAGAACAACCTTTGTAAGAAGTCGGCGGAGATGTCCGCACCAAAGTAAGAGCCACCCCCACGAAAAACATTTGGCCAACATCCTGATAGAACAGATGCCTCATTAAAGATTTATGAAGAAAAACCTTTGTTCTGTTTCGGATCGCTCCATAAAATATCCAACATTTGTCTCCATTCATCAACGTTGACGCCGTTCTTTCCATCGTCTTTAACAATTGGTGGTCTCAAGACGGAATGATACTGAGAGAGAAAGTATGTATAAGATGAAACTATATCTTGTGACTTGGTCTACCTTATGCCTCGGGATCTTTTCTAACTTCGAAATATCAGTTGTATCAGATATTCCGCCATGAACAACAAAGACTTCGTTGTCAATGATGGTTGCAATCGGAAGCCAAGCAAAGACATCTTCCAATAGCTTTGTAATGGGAGTGGCGTATTCCTGAAACTCAATTGGTTTGCTACGCTTCTAATGGAACTAAGACCTTATACTTAGTTGTCAGTTCTTTAATAAATCCATATCTCAAATTCATTATATGGTCCTCATGATTTCCTCTGTTTAAAGTGATGGAATTTGGATTGAGAATCAGTAATGAGAATAATACACACATGACCTATCAAATCATCAGGTTATCAAAGATCGTAAACCAAACACTTCAAACTTCAATAGATTGTCCGCCGCGATCCACAAAATCACCATTGAAAATATAGGGATTGTCGACTGAGGGATAGCCATTCTAAAACAATATCGTTAGACAAGTTTTAAATAATCAACATCATAGCTGTGAAAGAGGTTCCAAGAATTATTTTTCAATGAACTCAAATAATTCCTTGCATGAGCATGATGATAAACTCACCTTATACAGAATGATGCAGAGATCATCAAACTTTCCATGTAAATCTCCACAAATTGTGATCTGAAAGATTATCATTAAGACTTATTCTACATGTATTGCCAACTTGGTTCGATATGGAAGTGGACAGTCGAAGTACAGAAGGTAACGTCTTCATAACCCTTCTAGCTTCATGTAGGATTGTTAAAACATATCTGGGATGCATTACCTTAAAGTTTTCATCATTATCATAGTCTACACTATCACAACTCACTTTATTTAACTTGAAAGCTTCAATCATATTAACTATTTGGTTTTTATCGAGAGGTAAGCTGATTGTGGGTCCTTTATACCCTTTCTCAATTTGGAAATGGTTTGGTTGGGTTTCTTCCAATAACTTTTTGGTTGTCTCCTCATCATCTTCTATCATTATCATCTAATTATTGCATTGAATACTGTAAATCAAACCTCTTGAAGAAAATGATTGCAAAGCTGAAAAACAAAAAATAAGATTAATTTAGCTTGACGACATACCGTTTGTAATTGAAGAATTGTTAATCTCAGGTTTTGAATCATTGCTAGCCATTGCAGTGATTACATCACTGAAGAAGTCGTACAACTGAAAACTGTTATTTAGAACTTTGCATGATGGCGTCTGATGATGACACGTAAGTGACGTGCAACATATTCATTTTCCATTTTGTAAGTCGTACAAACGGTTGTGCTCCCAATTTTTTTTAAGAAAATAACGATGCAAAACGTTCATCGCAGTTTTTTTCCAGATATTCAAAAACAAACTTGTAGCTGATCTTGCTCTCCAGCGTATTCAAGAGTAGTGAAGATACTCCATGTTGCTCTTCGACGAGCTTCCAAACGAGCTTCACATCGTCTATACCATTTTTGAATTAAAATGGCTGATTTGATAGCTAAAAGATGAAAATAAATTACAGAATAGTATGAATGTAATTAAGATAAAGTGCAGATCTATTGAGTGAGTGGCATGCGTTGCGTAATATTCAGTAAATCTGTCTGCTACAATGCTAACTAAGTTATTGATTAGTTCAGTAATTGAACAGCTAGATGTCATTTACATATAAAGCTGTGAACCCCATTAAATCTTTTTCTTCATGACTCTTATTTCTTTTTGCCGTGTACTGGATCGTGGAACAGAGCAAACTTGTTATGAAGAGGAAGTATAATGACATTCTTCTTTGGAACTTTTATTCCTAATCTGTGATTAGCAAAGTGAATGTCGAACTCAAAGAGCCGAGCATGGGCAATACTGAGAAAGATTTGCCCCAGTACAGAATACTCTAGTTCGTAATTATGGTTTTTACATGAAAGACTTCCAGTTTCTTCAAATTCTGGAAGGTTGCGAGTACCAATCATTAATTACTTGAAGCAGCACGGAAAGTGGCATTAACACGAAAGGTTATTGACTTCGAAGCATGCAAGACGAAGATTAAATTCTATTTTAATTGTGTGATAAGCTGCGTTTACTTATTAGTCTCGGATTTTCCTTGTCAAGCTTTCATGTAAATACTTCTGATCCTTTAAGTAGCTATGACCATTCGAACTTTTTGAATTTTATATCCACGCTAATTAGCATATGGCTCAGACGTGTGTGACGTTTGGCGCGCACGTTTTATTTTTAAAATTTCCATTTTCATTAATCTCCAAAGATGCAGATAGATGTTGCATTCTATTTCCCTTCAAGTAATTGGTGTGTTTGTTCTCAATATTATATTTCGAAAACGAGCTTGAGTGCATCTATGAGCGTGAGTGATAATGCATCGGTGTAGAGGGATTGAACTTAACATGGGTTATTAAATCCAGCAAGCCAGTTTCGAAACATTAGCATCGTGTTGCATCACTTATTCATTTTTCGAGAAAATATGACGTTCAGTAATGTATATAGGAAGAATGAGCTTGAATTTGGCATGAAAATGCTTGATCTGTTGATCGTGTAAGTCAAACTAAGTTCGAGCTGATAAATGTTGCGATATAATATCAAGAAAAGCCGTATGAACACGCAATTGTATCTATTTATAATCCTGACGTCTCAAAAATTTGTTTATTTTCCTATCTGATGATATTCATGTAACGTTAAAGAGTAACATAGTAGTTCTCGAGTTTCTTCCGGCTTATATGTTTCCTTGATTATACGCTCACTTAGCTTCTGGGAGGGATATCGCACATTTCTGATATCGCATAAATATGTTTAGACGAAAGCATCATGTGATAATGCAAACATTTGTAATATGTTTGGAGTTCGTTAAAGTTGTGCAAAAAAATGAATGTTTCGAAACTTAATCCGCTCATAAAACATCTGTGAATGTGTTGAGGTTGATGGGATATGAGGACGGGAGGGGGGGGGGGGGCAGATGGGATTGTCAATCATGTTTTGTGCGATAGAAACACTAATATGTGTATCATGCTTCACGCGAACAATCATCAACATAGTTTAATCCTCACTGATTTGAGGGCCCTGTGGAGGCGATTTCGGACGTTTTATTCTAGGTGAGCTCTTGTACAAGGACGGTTGAGCAACAGGGCTTGCTCGACGAACCACAGAATGTTTTTCTACAAAAGTTAGACATTTCTTTGTTTAGTTAATTAGCTTCTTTTTTTTTTGCATATAATTAGTATTCTGAAGGGTTTACTTGATTAATTTAAAGCTGTTGATGATGATGATGCTCAACTTACTTAGCTCGGTGTTTGGTGGAGGTGGTCGACCACTTGATTGCCCGCAGCCCATGAGCTAATAGACAATAAACTGAAAATAGAACTAGTTTATCTTCCAGTATTGTGTTTTGTGTATGCATAACGATAATGATAGCAACGCATGGAAGTGAGCAATTTATAAGAAATGGAGAAGGATTGGATGCTCAAATTTGATTCCTTTGAAATTTGAGATGATATAAAGTAAACGTCGAAGATATAGTTGGCTAGCATAACAAGTTTGAGAATGAAGTTGAAGCAGAGAAGAGAAAGAAGCAAAAGAGAAAAAAAAACGTAATTTGACTTTGTAAATAAGTGTTGTATGTTGCTATGTAGACGATTTTCTCATGAAAAAATCGTTTTTCTTTCTTTTGTACTGGAAATAGGTAAGAGGGATGGGACATGTGGGAAGGAAGGTGCACGTGCAATCAGATTTTCGCAACTGGGAGCACAAGGCAGTATAGTATGTGCTAGGTTAAGTAACAAACACGTTTGTCATTATAAAAATAGAAAAAATATATTAAAAAGGGGTAAATAATAAAGAGCAAAAAGGAAATGCAAGGGATGATAGTCTTTGATGAAGATAAGTTTAGAAAGAACAAAATTGACGTAAAGAGAAGAGGCTTGGAATAGATGAAACATATGAGGATGCATGGAGATATATATAAATATAGATAAGAAACATAATCTTTTGACGTCAAAAGGTGGTCTGAAGTGATGTTTCTAAGATAAATGGCTTCCTTAACGAGAGCTGTACGTCGAGAGAAGGTGAATTATTATAATAAGCAGATGGGAGGGAGAAGAGAGAAAGGAAATGATCGAAGTGAGGGAGGACAAAACGTACTAAGCCATTTTGAATTCGTTGTGATAATTTCTATTAAGGAAGTATGCGTAATGATAGTTTTGCAATCGAAGCTTCTATGATGTTATACCAACAAGCTGAATGAAGTACGAACGAATGCAAATTGCATTGAATAGAAAGACAAGAAGAATACATTAGATAGTTGGAGAAAATGAGAAAAACTTGCAACGACGAATTGAATAAAAGCAATATGGTTCTTCTTATCGCTTCACTCGTTCATCTGGTTCAAAGAGAGATGGCTCTCAATGTGTTTCAGTTTTCCTCGTGTGACATTTACAAATTGATGTACGTGAATACAACTGTCTGTACTTTACTTCTTCGCCTTCTTCTTCTTCTCTTAGCTTCATCTTCATCTTCGCCTTCTTCTTCTTTAGTATATAGACTAGAGAGGATGATATTATGGATGAAAATGTCATAAAAGAGATAAAAGAGAAAACAAAAGAGAAATCTGGGCATGTTTTCTATTCGACATAATGCTTTTCGAATAGTAATTATAGGTTTCAATTGCATTCAAAGCTCTATGAACAAATTATTCGAACAGTCGACTATTTTAACAGTAAATATCAAAAAAAAAACAGAAAAGGAAAAAGAATCAAAAATGTGAATAAGCAAGTTGAAATACGTTGCTAAAGAGAGCGCATATGAGAGAGAGAGGAAGAGAGAGGGAGGGAAGAAAGATCATGGGTGATGAGCTTGTTAATCCTTAATGGAGCTCTTCAGATTCAATCTTACTAGGAATGGAAAAAAGCTACGCAAAATCGTTAAATGAGAAATGAAATAGAAAAAAAATGAAAATATTTAAAAAAAAAAAAGAAAAAAGAAAAAAAAATAAGCAAAATATGATGAAGGCTGATATGGTTGTTGGTATAGGACAGGAAAAGAAAGAATCAAAAACATGATCATGAGCAGAGGAGCTTCCGAAATATCATTCGGATGATGATCCTGATCATCGTTTCAAACCAAAACGAATCTTTAGCGGTTTGGCATCATATCGGCTACTACTTTCGACTCGCCTCCTCTGTTTTCTCTGATATTTACGTGGATACATGTGTATGTCTTCTTCCTTCCTCCATCTTTTCTGCTTCTTTTCTACTACTGTTATACTGCTCTCTTTCATTTCTCTTACTCTATTGGAAGAGACATATCTCTCTTCGTTTCTCTATACCTTTCCATATTCATTCATTGCCATCGTATGCTTACTCTCTTTCAGCTTGAAGTCTTCCATTCCCTCTCTCTCTGACTCTATCACCCTTTTTCACTCTAATTCCATTCCTCTATCTCTGTCTCTTCTCTCATATTTCTGTTATGATAATCTATCATAAACGCTTATTATAATTATTCTGCAAATCTGTTCCATCACTTCAATCATTCACTATGATGTAACGTTCAATTTCAAAGAATATCTGTCTACCTAACTGAGTAAGTGAGCAAGCATCATCATCATCATACTTGCGACCCCAATTAGTATGCTTGCTTTCACTTATTTTCAAAGAAAAACAGAAAGAAAAATCTTCTGAAGTTGACGTTTGAGGACGAAAAAAATTAACTCCAAACAGCTCACGAATCTGGATATTCATTTCAATAAGAATGACAGTTCACTCAACTGGAAAACAACAAATCTTAGAAAATATGTTTGTTGTCTTGCTTTTCAGAAGTTTTTCTTTCCAACTTCTTCTTTGTGAATGGAGTGGGGGGGGGGGAGGCGAAGGGCTAACACAATGATAAAGATAGATATGAATGTGAAAAGAGAAGAGAAGGAACAAGGTCATGCTGAAGAGAATGGATAATGAAAAAAAAACTGAAAAAATAAATGAGCTGAAGAAGTCAAAAATCCAGATGCTAGAGTATGTGATCTCTCACATATTGTGCTTATAATCAAGAGAAGGGAAAACGAGACAAAAAGAGAGGAAGAGAGAGAGAGGGAGGATGTGTGGCTATGAAGAAAATGAGACAGAGAATGAAACAGAGAAATCAGAGAGCTTGATCTTTAATGAAGAGAGATGAGGCAAGGGATATACACAAGCACTAGGTGTAGGTTCTAGTTGTGAACTATTGTGTAAAAGATGATTCTGAGTGAAGAGAAAGCCACAGAATCAATTCTGTTTGAAATCAATGGAAACAAGCTTCTCGAAACAGCTGTTTTGGCTAACATTTGCAAATTAGATACTCATTTCGATGCCAGCCATGTATGATACACGGATGACCCTGCTACGACAGGAAGCTTTAGGTTATTATAGTAAGCTGATTGTTTTGATAAATGTGCGAAATGAAAGAGATTACGAGAAGAGCCTACGAATCACATTTTTTTAAGGTGAAATGGGATAAAAGAAAGAAAGATTAAAGTCTATGAAAGGAATAATAATAATCTAACCAACAACGAGAAGACGTAGCATGTGAGAATGACTAGAAGCTGACTGAGCTATCAGCATTACTCCATTACATGCATCAAACAAAAAAGAAAAGCAAAAACGTTTAAATCATGTTGATGTTGGAGGTGGGATATGAGGCCGGATGGCTCTCGTGATTTCATCCAGTAACTCAATGGATCAACAGAGAATTTTTGATGATAAAAGAGCAAAAATATAGAATGAGTAGATGAGACTCTGTGCTATTTCAATCGGCTAACCTTCATTTCTCTCCAACTTTCTTTCTCTCACTCTCTAGTCCTCTCTTTCTCTCTATCTCTCTTAGGAAGCTAACGGTTGTATTGAGATCAAGATTTCTTTTGAAAGGAAAGGAGGGAGGGAGAATGGAAAAAATGAAAAAAAAAGGTTCTCCTCCATCATTGTTCTGTTCCATTGCAATGACGAGAGGTTCATTGGAGGTATTGTGGATGACTTGGTTGTGCTGGACTTCAGATATGATGAATTGAACTGATTGGGATATCATTTCATCTTTATGACATATATCAATCAACTAATTTTGCTTTTCAAAGAAATAACGACATTAAATTTGCTGTTTTTTTTCTTCTTCTCAGCTTGTCCTCTCATTCTCTCCGTCATCATCGGCCCATGAAGAAGGAAAATCATATTGGAGATTAGTCAAGCTGTAGCCATGTCCATATGATGAAGAGGAAAGAAGGAAAGTAATAAATGGATAAATTAGAGACTGTTACATTGTGGATGAAAGGCAAAAACACGGTTCGAAGTGCCTTTTTCGTTCAAGGACTTGTCCACTTCTTTATCCTTCACCTCACTCTGGATGAAAACGAACGAAGTGGACAGCAATCACTCACTGCCATCGCCAAATCACTTTTTATTTCTTCTTTAAAAGTTACATTCATTAATTATATTAATACATAAGAAACATTTCGTTTTCTTTTACTCATCAAATAACGGCTATGATATGCAAATTGAAGAGAGAGAGAGAGAGAGAGAGAGAGAGAGACATCGTACACCTTCTTCCTTCATCGAACATTCCTCGCGACTTACAGACCGTTTGTCAGTCGAAAGTCATTAAAAAAAGTTTTTCCTTTTCTAGAATCCTATGTCCTTCACATCATTTCTGTGACTTATACTTCATTCATAAATCTCACACATCTCATTGTTTACAGTTTTTGTTAGAAAATTTCTTATTCAATACATTCTGAAAGTTATTCATCATTTTGATTTTTAACAGAAACACTAGAATTGAATGTTAAATATCAAATAATATAATAAAGAAGAGGACGAAGAAGAAGAAGACGTCGAGCAAGAGGAAGAAGAACTGTTTGAATGAATCAGGAAGACAGCATAAACGAAAACAACAACAATCTTGATGCTCTGGAGGTGAGACAGTTTTCATTCCATTCTAATTGATGTTAGTAAGTGTGCTATAATGGTAATTTCAAAAATGACGCCAGCCGTTAGTTGCGTTATGCTAATCAAAATTATTTTTGATTTGAATTTTGGGAAGAGCGGTTGTGTTCTAGACGATTCTATGATAATTAAGTTATTATTTATTTTTAAGATATATGAAAAGGCTCTGATTTCTCATCCTTTCAATGCTGTTCTTCATTCAAACATATCGTGTATTCTCTTACGTTTAAATAGAATTGATGAAGCTGACAAGGAAGCCGATCTGGCGATACAACTGCGTCCGGATTGGCCAGAGGTAATTATAAGAATTCGATGCTTTTATTTGCATTTTTTTTCATGCTTTCAAGATTTAATAATAATTATTATTGCAAGGAATGTTATTGTTATAGGCATATATAAGTAAAGCTGAAGCACTATGGAAAAATGGACTGTCAGCTGATGCTTTGGTTCGATTTTGCAACGCCATCCGTCTTGAGGAAAAGAATATGGAAAACATACAGAAAGTTCGAAAAAGAGCGATAGATGCACTAGGTAGTTGGAGATTTCATAGTGAAAACTGAGTTAAGAATGGAAATTCAGATGAGTTTCCTATCGATAGCTTGAAAGCATTGGATATGGATAACAGTGGGTTCATGATTGTATCAATAATTGGAATACTACTGGCTAGACAAGGTCATTGGAATGGTGAGCATGAGGATATATTTCAATCAGAATGAAGAATCCATTCAGAAGCCACTCAGATTTTAACAAGTTGCCTTCAAATGAAGGAAGGACATCCAAGGATGTTGGAGATCGTCGTGGAATATCTCGCCACAACATATTTCAAACTCAAAAATTATAGAAAATCCATCGCATACTATGAACAGTTGCTAGAAACATCTGATGATGAAAAAAGTGACAATCATCTATAATAATTACTTAGAAGTTGTTTTGTTTAGAAATAGGAGTGAGAAGGAACATAGCAATGGCAGCTGAGGCATCACACGATTTTCAATTAGCAATTATACAAAGAAGACGTATTTTGGAAAGTGAGGTATGTCGTTCTGCATTTGTAACAAACAAAACAGAAAAGTGGTTAAGTGGGCGAATGAGCTTAACATTCTAGTGATTCCATTTTATCATTTTCATGTTGTGATATGAGAAACTAGTTTTCCAATTCAAATGGAAATGACCTTAGAACGTTCATTGAAAATATCAACGGAGATAAACGTTTGAAGTTTGAATTTTAAGAATCTGGCTGAAGATGATGCTGTATATGAGACTGTCCATATCTGTGAACTTCTGCTGAACGATGGTCAGCCAGAGAAAGCATTGAACGAAATAAAGACGATTAGCCAGCAGCAGTTTTGCAAGAGAATATACGTTGAAGATATGATTCGTGTCTTAGAAGCAAGTGCGTACATGATACAGGTATGAAAAAATTATTTTTTCTTCTCTCTCATAGTTCCATTCATGACTATGCGTAGCAGAAGTACGATGAGTCGTTGTCTCCTTTTCGCATTCACGATCTTCAATGGTCGAGAAAAAAAAACTGCAAAATAGCAATTTGTGTCAAGTTAGATGTCTAATATTTCAACAGCAGAAAGCTGTAGTTTCTGTGCATTATGAGGGACTATTATGTATTTTTGGAATTCATGAAAAATAGTAATACTTCAACCGTACAGTTAACAACAACTAATGTACAAGAATGTGAGTATATAGTACGGGTAGAGGAGGTGTAGAGAGAAAAGGAAGATGGGGGAGAAGGAGTAGGAGGAGTGAGAACAACATGACTAACAATCTGTGAAATATATATTTTTTCCTGTTTTCAAATCAAAAACTTACATTTTTTTTCAGGGTAGAACAGCAAAATGTCTTTCTTTGTTAGAAAATTTTCAATCTGACAATTCTGAAGTAATGATACGTTGTTTGGAATCGGTTCACATGAGTTTAGTAAGAGATGGGCGTATTGATGATTGTATTCGATACGTGACGGAAATTATACAAATCGCATCCGAAAGAGCTGATTTCAGATTGGTTAGTAATAATAATTCGTTTTCATAGTCAGATGATGTTATATTCTCATATTTGTAGAGATTTAAAGCAACGTTGTTATTAGCGAAAAGTAATGCTAACAAGAGGAAGTTTTCGGAATCTCTCGTTTTAACTCAAAGCTTATTAACGACCGAGAATCAAATAACACCAGATATGCTGAAAGATGTTCATAGAACTCTGATGGAAATACACGAAAAGAATAAGAATTGGTCAAGTGCCTTGGCATCCTGCAAGGTTGCTTTTGCGCATCAAAAAAATTCAAATGAAAAAGGTGTGTTGTTTAGAAACTGCTAGAGAAATGTGAAAGAGTCAGTGTGGACTATGTGAACTGTTGTTTGGACATTTCGCGATTTCTCAAAAATCTTCCACAGATGCAACAACAACAAAAATCTTATTTAATGGTACAAAAGTTCGACTGGCAAGTTATAAACTAAATATTTACAGATGGCGGTTGAGTCTTCCGATTTGTGTGCCCATCTACCCTCAAAGGTTTTATCACGTTCAGCATTAATAAGGTTCTTAGTTGAGCAAGGATTGATGAAAGAAGCAGAAGGATACATTGATGTCTATAAGGATTTTCTCGAATGCAATATGTGTATGATAATTCTACTTTCATTCATTCATTCTATTGACCATTAACTCATTATAGCCAATGCATTAAAAGCTATTATTATAGCTGATTTGACAAAAATGAATAATAATGGAGATTTCCAAATTAACTTCAACCAGATAGAGGTTTGGTTGCGATGATATCATTTTACATTCATAATTTAGGAGAATCCAATAAACCAAATTTTTTGTTCAATCGAGCTGGCCGAAGCTGAGATGAAGAAAAGAAATTATGAAAGAGCAGAAGCGCTTTTCAAAGAAGGATTAGAATCAGCTATGAATGTTCATTTAGCAGAATGGGTTTTGAAATGTTTTGTCAAGCTATCAAAGTAAAGATTGGTTGATTGACTCAGATTCACTAACTCTCTTTTAGCTTATATATGATTGTATCCGACTTCCCAAATTGTTTGCTTTCCGCTGGAAGTGGACTGAGGTTGGCAGACCTAATGAATGATAGTCAAGCTAAGTCAGAAATATTGTGTATAAAGAGTCGTATATACTTGGAAAAGTTGGTTGTTTCTAAATTTATCTCTTACTACGTATTATTCTCAGAAATATGTTGGAAGAAGCTATACAAACTGCCAAAAAAGGAATGGCCATAGCTGAGAAAGACAACATAGCAGAAGAACGTATAAGATGTTACAAACTTTTAAAACGAATTTTCGGAATAGCAAAGAAAAATGATCAGGTGAATGAAAGCCTTGGTAACTTGTGGGTAACTTTGTCCTTTCAGGTTATCAAGTATGAGAAGAAATTGGATGATATTATCAGAAATTAAAAATAATTAGTTAGTTCAATCCTTTCGCGGCTAATGCTAATGAATAAAGCAAATTATTGTTTCATTTCTCGTCTGCTCTATCGAGTGCGTCACTGTGCGTTTCAGTTCTAACAATGGTTATCGCTACCATTGTGTGTAACACGTTTCATTTAACGACCATAAGGTCTTAATTGAAATATTATACAAAAAGTTTAGATATCAAGCCTCATTGGCTCAGGGGCAGAGCGTCTGTCTAGTAAACAGAAGGTCGCTGGTTCGATTCCAGCATGAGGCATCCTTTTTGGCATAATTCTTTCAAATTGTTTCTGCTTGATCAGGTTTGGGTATGACTTCATGTTTGCAGGGGTAAAGGGAACTAGTACGAGAACAAAATAGTACGAGTTATTATGTTGTTCCTAGGAGTTTAATTCAACTTCAAATTGCTTCATTTCGTTAGGCATTTTTTACACGGCATGATTTCGATTGAAACAGTATCTTTTCCATAATGCTATTTGTGAATGTGAATACGGTTCGTTCGTCTGTTTAACGAATAAGTTGCACGTCACTTTGTGAATATAATTTGTAACTAATAACTGATGATATTAAGAATAATTACTTTGCGTTTGTTGTTCCTTCCTAATTATTGAAAAGCTTTTGCAGACAAAAATTTTATTGAAGATTTCTTCTACTACTTGTCGATCAGTTAGTATCAACAGCAGTTAGTTGTAAAGCGTATTGAACGTTGTGCAACTCAGTATAGTACAAGCAGAAGTTATCATCCTTAAATTGCACAAGTTATGATGGAATGGAAAGCATTGGCTTTTGAACTTACGTAGTATGATTCTCCACTTCCAATTCCGTCAGCATAGCAGCTGAAGAACCATTTTGGTTTGTTCAATCCATATAATAATGTACGCAATATTCCCTTGAGTAGAGCTGTCGTTACACTTATGAGAAGGGCAATGCTACCTTGCACGAATAATCGTTGACATTTGAGAGGTTCTGAGCGATTTGTGCACGAAGAGTACCATTAGCACATGTGTGTGAATTAATATCATCTGAATCATTTTTTGGCTGATTGTGAAGAAGTAGTTCAACCAAC